AGCTAATATAAAGTCACACTGGATTAGGCAAAGTCCTAAATCTATCGAGCAGAATCTTTCTAAGAAGAATGGACACACATGGGGAAGAAGCCATGTGATGATGGATCCTTAGATTGACATGATGGAGTGACAAGCCAAGGAATGCCAGCCTTGCTGGCAGTCACCAGAAGCTAGGACAGGCATGGAACAGATTCTCCCTTTGGTTCTCCCACAAGGAACCAACCCTGCCATTGCCTCAGTTTAAATTTCTGGCCTTCTGAACTGTGTCAGAATACGTTTCTGTTGTGTTGAGCCACATTTATGTGGTCATTTATTATAGCAGCTCTAGGAAACTGACATAAGTTGCTTTCTTCCCTGCACTTAAGTTTCTTCATCTGTAACATGGGAGTGCTTATTAATAAAAGTGGGTACTTATTAAGATCACAGGAAATAATCTATGTAATGAGTTTAACAGTGTGCCTGTGTGCAGTAAGTAAAGAATAATGCTTGCTATAGAAGGTTCAGTGACATAAAAGACAAAGCCTCAAAGAAGGTATTGATAGTATTGTATCATATGTTTTGCTATAATTTGTTTGCCTTAATCCCCTGTTGATGAACTTTTGTGGGGCTTCAGACTTCTTGCGGACGTAGAGTACAGCCATACAATTTATACATGTATCTTTGTACAATTAAGAGAGTGAAGAAGGGTAAATTCCTAGAAGTGAAATTGCTGAGTCAAAGGGTATGTGCATTTGGATAGATAAGGCTCATATTACCTTGAAAGGGGTTTGCCAATGTGTCTTCCTGCCAATGTGTGAGAATGCCAGCCTCTTCTCTTGTCCTAAACACAGGCAGATCTCAGGCTTTTTAGTCTTTGTCAGCCTGATAGATGAGGATTGATACTGCATTTCTCAATTTGCTTTTTTATCTAAGTATGAGTAACCTTCGTTAGCTATGTGTCTTTTAGCCATTTGTATTTCTTATGTGACTTGCCTATTCCTTTCCTCTTTTCACATTCTCCTCAGCTGTTCTACTTTTGTTACTTGTTATTGTAAGACTTCTTTGACTATTAGACAAGTTAGCCTTTTGTTCAATGCACAGCAAATATATTTTCCTCTAATGTCGTTTGTGATTGTTCATGCTGATTTTCATATTGTTTTTCAGAACATACAAACGACACTTTGTAAAGCTTTACCTTATGTTAGCACCTGCTGCGAGGCAAGGTAGCAAAGTTTATGTTTGTAAGACAGAATGAGAATAGGGATGAGCACCACAAGTTTTTCTATAAATTCACTTTTATACTAGTAGTGCTTTTGACTTATAGCTATCAAGTCCAATAATAATGCTATTCGTTTATTTATTCATTCATTCAACAAACAGCACCTGAGGGGTGTGTATCTTCATGTAGGCCTCTGGGAAATCCAGATGTTTGCCTTCAAGTAACTTTTAGTCTTTGGGGAATGGGAGGCACAAGATAAGGCAGCAGCTCCTACAGAGTTCTGGCAGCCTCTCCTGTGATGTTTGCCTTCTTAGAATCTTCTGGAACTGTATGGAAGTAAATGAAAAGGGCAGAGCCTAGTGGAAGTCAAGGGAGGCCTGGGCTAAGGAAGGTACAGAGAAGTGGAGGAAAGAGTCCCAGAGTGGAGTGTAGCATGCTTGGGGAAAATAGCTGGATCAACAAGATGCTTTCAGCATCCTTTCCTGGGACCATGTTGCTTGCAATGATTCCTATGGTGACTCAGACATCATGATGACTCTGAGAGATACACACATCTTACTTTTGTAATTTAACTCATTTGACAACTTTGACATGTGAACCTTAGAGGCTCAGTGTGCTCTGAGATGGGACATTCAGCAGCTGCCAAAAGTGATGGAGTCAAACACTATGTTTAGCGTCCCTGATTTTTTTAAAAGGTACTTTCCCCCTATGCTAAAAGAATGAGTTCATCCAGGGAAAATAAAAGCAAACGGGACAAAAAACAAGTTGTTTAATGATGTCTGAGCCTTCTTCGTTCATTGCTCCAAATGTCTTTCAAAATAGAAGCTGGCCTTAGAGGGCCTCAAATATCACCTCACCACTCTGCAGCAACCATCAGTTGAGGCAACAGCCTTCTCTGGAAGACCTCATGTAGGCTGTGTAATCTCTGCTCACAAGCCTCTGGTGACAAGTGCTCTCTATCTCAGGAGTGGCCCATTGCCTCCTTGGGCACCACTATTGTTAGAAAGCACTTTGTGATGATCAGAAATCTGTGTCTTGATAGTCCCCAGATATTCATTCTTTTGCCCTCTGGGAAACCACAGGCCACTTCTGTTCCCTCTTTCCCAGTCAGCCCATGGGAGGGTCTCAGAGTATGACCGTGTTCCTCCAGGTCCTTCAACTGTGATACATGATGCTCTGCTCACCTTCTCTGTACCGAGCACCACTCAAAACAAGGCCCATCTTACAGAAGAGTTGGTCCACGTGGCAAATAGGCATATGAAGTCTGTCCTGCGCCCTCAATAGGAAACACTCAATGAGATATCATTACAACTCACCTTCTGGAGAGTGGCTAAACTTACTGCACGTGAGTTCTACACTCACTGCATGGCTAAACTGGAAAGTGCTCACAATGGCAAATGTCAAGGATATGGTGCAGCTGGAACTCTCATCCACTGCTGGTGGGAATATAAAGTTCTACATTTACTTTGGAAAACTGTTTAACCATATCTATTAAAACTAAATGGACTCTGTGACCCGGCCATTATATTTCTGGGTACATAATAAAAAAATTTTAATTAGTTATTCCTCTGAGAAACACATATTCATAGCACTGTCTTTAATTTTCAGATACTGGAAATAATTAACAGTAGAGTAAATGAATCAATTGTGGTATATTTCATACAGTGGAATTCTATATGACAGTGAGAGAGCATGAAAGCAACAGATTGAATTAGTCTCACAGATATGCTGAGTGAGAAAAGCCAGGCACATTGTTATATCACTTTATTTGTTGTTTAAAAAAAACAGCTAATCTTTGGTTCTGAAGGTCAGAATAGCAGATACCTTTGAGGAAAAGAAATTGGGAAGTGGTATAAAAGAGACTTCTCGGTGTCTGGAAATGTCATGTATCTTCATCGGAGTGTTTACATAGGTATATATTGGACTGTGTGCTTGGTCCACAACTCTACATTCACTTTCTTCACACACACACACACACACACACACACACACACACACACACACACATGAAAATTCAGTGAATTCTACACGTATGATTCATACTGGAGTATATATAATCTGTGCCTTATTAAAAAAAATAGTACCTCCCCAATAAGAGAATGATAGCCCAGAGATGGGCTCCAGCACATCTTGCTGGAGATCCACATTTTCCTCCTGGCTACTCAGCCATGTCCACCATCTGGGGCTCACAGGGTTGGCTTGTTGGGCCTGAGACAGTAGGGGACTAGGGGATAGGTAAAGAACCCAGCAATCTGAGCTGTGTCTTACAGTCTCTCATTTTCCCCTCCACAGAACACAGAGCACATATCATGCTTTCACTTTACAAAAGACTCCTTAGCTCTCAGAGGCCCGAGGCTGTCAGTCAGTGAGATTTTACCCCAGTCTATACTCTCCTCTATAACAGGGTTGGCCCAAGATGAGACCTCCTCTGTAATGGCACAACACAGCACCCCCTCCTTCAAGGGTGCTGGATGAAGAAATGGCATGTGTGATCTCCTCTCCTCAGTTTAATTATAAGCTTCCTGAGAGCTGGAGACTCTTTTTATTAAGCCCAGAATGCCCTGTACATAGTGGATGATCAGTAATTACTCACTAAATGAATTAGGCCATGGAAACTGAGATCCAAGGAAATGCAGCCACTGACTCCAGATCCCACAACCAGTTCTCAACCCAAGTGGGGACTGGCATCCAGACCCTCTGATTCCTATTTCGTGTTCCTTTTGTCATTGCATAATGGCTGTAACTTCTAATAACCAAAGGGGTTGAAGGGTTGCAGTGGGTTTGGAAGTTATTAGGGAAGAAAAGGCCCAGCACAAGTGCAATGAACGTTCAGGCTTTATGTCCTGGGGATAGGGCTGGGAGGGGTTACACACCTGTGTAGGTGTACAGATCCTTGCTCTCAGAGGGGCTTTGGGCTTGGTCCAGTACTCTGCAGTCACTGCTTGAAATTCTTACTAGTTTTACTTTGAATTTGTAATTTTTAAGTGCAGTGCCACTGGAGAACGGAGCATGCCAGGGCTTAGGACTTCAGCTCATGTGGGGCCTACTGCATGCTGCCTCTTTGCCTCTCCTGCCTCTGGCCTCACAGGCCCTCCTCATTTCTGCAGGTTGCCTCTGGGGCTCTCTGCCTCCCTCTGCTCCTGGGCATTCTGCTGAAAATTGCTGCAAGGCAAGATTCTCATTTCTTCTGATCCGGGTCCTCAGTGTTTTAGCTCAGACGTGGCAGTACCCACAGGAATGGCCTATTACACTGCAACCTTTGGCCTGGACACTAGAGACCTGGACTGGGATGGATGAAGGATACTGGGGCAGTGGCCAGTGGGTTGGGGAAGTGACTGGATTGACTTCTCAACCCCCTCATCAGAGGCACATTCATCCTGCCTGTGGCAAGAGAGAGAAATTGGCAGCCAGTGGCCTTCTTGTGCAAGCTCTGAATCACAGCACATAGCCACCTGTGTGGACCATTAAATAATAAATTAAAAACAGCATGACCGATCAAGAGAGAGAATGAGAGAAAGGAACAACCTTGTTACTTTGGTACTTTTAATGGTACTTTTATCCTGGACTTTAAAAAAGGGATCCACAGTTTTATTTTGCATTAGTCCTAGAAAATTCTATGGGCAATCTTGCCTGGGAGAACCTTTTATTGCAAAGCCATATGAGAAGCTGGGCCACCATCAGCAAGGCTCCTTGGGGGAGGCAAGAAGGCCTGGAATTTGGACTTGATGGCTGAGAAAGCTTTGTTCTCTTATCTGGCTATTTCTCCCCACCTCTCCTCTTCTCCTCTCTTCCCTGTGGACCCCAACACAGGTGACAGCATGCCGAGTAACGTGAAACTGCGGGTCTAAATAAAAATGGTAAGTTTAAATAAGCTGTGAAAGTCTCTGTCCAACAGAGGAGTCATTACTGACATGATCAGCATGTCGTTCTATTACTTTGGTTTCAACTCCAAATATTGAGGAAGCTAGGCTCCCCCAACTTCCATGACCCACTTGTCCATCCTTCCTACATCCAGTTGAGTGCTGGCTGACTTTCCTCCCTCTCCAGTCTCAGATCTGGGTTAGGTCCCACTGATACACTCTGCCCCCAGGGTTCTGCTTCTCTGACAGTTCAGTTCCACCTGCAGTGATCACCCATGAGCCTTAGGATGCTGAGATGTGATGTCAAATGCTGCCCTTACCAGGCCCCGCCATGGAGTACAAGACATGGGAGCCATAGTATCCTCCACTGGCAGGGGAAGCATGGTGCCTGTGTCGGAGTGATGGCCAGAGCCTGTGAGGAGGAAATGTGTTTTGAAGGCTTTCTACATGTTAGAGGCCATGGAAGTGGGATGTTCCAGGCTGCAGAACAGCATGAGCATGAGACAGGACTGAAATCTCAGGAGTCCCCAGGGAAAGGTAGACTCTGTAGTCAGAGGGGAAAAGACCTGTGGGAAGATTAGAAGCTGGGGAGGCCCAGGGCTCCACCAGTCTTGATGGCCTCAAACCATGAGCAGAAAGTGTTTTTGCCTGTCATAGTGGAGCTGGTAGTTTGAGCTTGGGAGCAACATGAAAATGATTTTCACCAAGGTAATTTGAAGGCTGAGTTGAATGTGGGTGGGCTGCAAGGTAGGATATCTGAAGCTGAAGATGGGGCTATTGTGATAAGTAGATAATAAAGGGCAAGTACTGTGAGAAGGGAGAGGAGGGACAGATAAAAGGGAGTTAAAGACAGGATTCCAACCACACAAAAACAACCACTGTGTGATTCCATTCCTGTGAGCTACATAGAGTAATCACACTCCTGGAGACAGGGAGAATGGGGTTGCCAGGGAAGAGCAGACAGGGGACTGGGAGTTAGTGTATAATGGGTGCAGAGTTTCAATCGGGGAAGACAAAAGAATTCTGGAGATGGATGGTGGTGGTAGTAGCACAACGCAAAAATGTATTTAACACCACAGAACTATACGCTAAATATGGTTAAAATGATAAACTTTATGTGATGTGTATTTTATTACAATGTAAAAAGAAACTAATAATAAAGAGAGAGAAAGAGAGAGAGGATTGTCAGGCACAGGGATTGACATAACGGGGGATGGGAGAGGATCTAGGCTGACTTTCAGTTGGCTGGCCTGGGTGAGTAGCTGATGGGAGCAGCCATGACAGAAGCCAAGTGTATTAGTCGGCTTTTTATTGCTGTGACAAAATACCTGAGAAAAGCTACTTAAAGGAGGAAAGGTTTATTTGAGCTCATGGTTTCAGCCCAGGGCTGACTGTATTGACTTCTTTTAGGCCCATGGTAAGGTTGAAACATCATGGCAGAAGGGCCTAGTGGAGGAAAGATGCTGACCTCATAGCAAGCAGAAAAGAGAGAGGGAAAGAAAGAGAAAGGAGGGGGAGGAGGGAGAGCAACTGAAGACAAGATAGACTTCCTTCTACTAGGACCCACCTCCTAACAGCCCATTCAGCTAGGAGCTCATCAATAGATTATTCTGCTCAATGAAGTTACAGCCCTCATTATCCAGTCACTTCCCCAAAGCCCATAATGTCAGCCAAGCCTTCAACACAATAAGCCTTTGGGTGAACATGTGAGTTCCCAACCCTAATAAGAGGCAAGGAGATAGTGGCATGGCATGCACTCAGGGCTGGCCATGTGGGACCTGAGGGGCTCTGGGAAGACGTGCCCAGCAAAGAGCCTGGACTCAGATGAGAAGAGCACAGAGGAATAGGGCATTTCCAGCAGACTTAGGAGGAGGGGTCAGAAAGTAGGAGGGAAGCCAAGAGTGTGAGCTCTCCCTCTTGTTGGGCTTCAAGGAGCAAGGACTCATTCAAGGTGCCTCAGTACAGTGAGGGGTCTGGGGAGCAGGTGAACCTTGTAAGGATTGTTAGAGTACAGGGGTTTCCTGGGAATCCAGCTTCAGCCATGGCCATCAGGCCCATCTTCCTGGGCATCTGTGATCCTACCTCCTCCCTTTCTCTCAGGTTGTGTGAACTGTCGTCTCTCTTCTCTTCACTGCCCCCTACCCCCTATTATGACCCAGGTCAGTTTTAACACCTCCCAAGACATGTAGCAATAAGTGTAACCTTATTTGGAAATAAGGTCATTGCAGATGATTATGTTAAGGTCAATTATGGCATCCCTAATCCAATATGACTCATGTCCTTATAAAAGGGAAATTTGGACACAGACATATAGAGGAAAGACAAGGCAGACACTGGGAGAATGTCACCTACAGGCTAAGGAACACCTGTAGCTGTCAGCTCAAGGACAGAGGCCTGGAGCAGATCCTCTCAGAGTCCTCAGAAGGAGCTCCTTGTGAACACTGCCTGGGTTTTAGAGTTCCAGGCTGCAGAACAGGAAGCCAACATGTTTGTCATTTGACACATTCCTGACAGCTCAAAACACCAGCAGTGCAGAGATAACTGTCTCATCAGGTGGTTTTTACCACCCAATGGGACTCCCATGCTGCCCTATGTGATTTAGAGCTGCCCAGCAGTGAGACATGAATTTCAGCCCCTTCATGAACATGTTAAGCCACTCAGTTTGTGGGGCTCTGTTAGCATGGCCTCAGGAAACTAACAACACCAAGAAATGAAGGAGCTCCTTAGCCCAATTCTTTTCTTTCTCCCCTGCCCCCCAGGCCACCTCACAGGCCATTGACTAGCCAATCAATTTGCTACCCTTGAGCCAGACATCCATTTTGTCCAGTGAGCTGGGAGCTGAGGGGGATGAAGAGGTGTCACATGATACAAAGCATGGCTGCCTGAGAGGTGCTCTGAAGGAAGGCAGCTGGGAAATGGCTCTCTTGTAAGGAACAGGAGACATCACATATGCTCTTGTGTTCCTGAAGCTAAGGAAAGACAGATATTCATGACAAGGGTAAACAGTATTATCCTGGGATGCAGAATTTAGTAATAAAGGATCATGACATAATATCCCTTTAACCAATGAATCTTTCAAAAAAAAAAGAATAAATACACAAAGAGATGATGTAAGATGGATCGATTTTGTAAACCAACATTTCTCTGCCCATCTTCAAGATATTCTTTGGCTGAAATAAGAAGATGGTATAACTGGAAATTATTCACTTGAACTTGTGACTCAGCTCTTCCTGAACCAGAGTAAATATGATCCATAAATCAAGACAGATGCCACCTCCTTGCCTCCCTTGCCAAGTGTCCCTACACAGGCAGGTGCTGGAGGAGCCATCATAGAAGTGACCCAATCTACTTCCTATGAGAGAGGTACAAGAGCACTTTGTACTCCAGGAGGCCCCCCTTCTCAGAGCTTTCCTTCCTGCAACTTTCCCGATAGACGGCCTCAGCCCTTGGCACACTAATATTTACTGTCCAACCTGTCAAGTTTTACTTCCTGGCACAGTTTATACATTCTATTTTTTGATGTTTAGCAGAGACTTGAGGCTTTTGCTACAGAGAAATGAGATCGGATGGGGGCTATGAGTGTAAGATAGACACAAGATTTCGAAGACTTAAATTTGTGAGTATGTTTTAAGTTTATTTAGGTGTGGGTAACAGAGGAGTTTTTCTGCTTCAAGAAGGCCATGCTGGGAGCCCCAGTGGCTCTATCACCTCCTTCCTGCTACGTCTCTACTCTGGGATTCCCAGCTTCCCACCCCTCCAAGACCTGGGTCCAATCTTGACATGTTAAAGATGGATAAGTAAAAGGATCAAGATATGATATGTACATAAACCAATACCCCATGATGAATATATTCATTATCACAAATATGTGCTAATAAACATTTTTAAATAAAGATGAATGAATTAAAATTGGCAGTAAAAAGGGACTTGTACAAAGTCTCAAGGGTGGTAGGCCAGAATCCAGATGTGTTCATGCCCAGTTCCTCAGATAGCACTGGTAGGCCAGGCACAGGGCTGGGCCCTGGAAACATGAAGACAAGATATAAGTCCTCACCGAAGGGGCCTTACAGTCTGACAGTATATGTGTGAGGGAAAGTGGAGGAGCAGTACAGACTCCAGCAGGAGCAGTTTCATTATAACAGCTGTCACACATTGAGCCCCTATGGGCTACTCAAGCCCTAGGCTGCACTCTCATTGCTTGTTAACACTCAGTCCTTATAACATCCTATGGGGCAACCACCGTTATGATCTATACACTACACAGGTTTAAAAAAAAAACAGTTCAGTGACTTCCAACTTATTTTAGTAGTAGAATCCTTTCCTCAAGGAAAATCTTACAGAGAATTCTAAATAAACACATCAGGTAAAATCAGAGGTGAGCCCTTCACTTAGCCTTAATTCCCTTTGGGAGTTTGGGAGAAACTTCTCAGAAATCTTCTTTGGGCACAGTTTAAAACACACCCAAGCAATTCAGTTCTGTCATTTTACAGATGAACAAGTGGAAGCTCCGAGAAAGAGAGGAACTTAGCAAGCATCATCTGGGGAATTAACATCACAACTAGCACTCCACCCAAGTCCTAGAAGTCTTAGGCCTGTGTTCCATCCCTGACACCTTCTTACTAGGAACCAGAGGCCTTATATTAATAGATATATAATACAATCTTTTCCAAGCTATACTGTAAGACTGAATTTGCAGAGGGCTCTGTTCACAAGCTGGTTTCGTCTCTCTCCTGCTCTGTTCCTTCCCTGCCTCCAGTTCCCTGGAGCACTGACCACAGTGCAAGAATCTGGCTGTGTGGAAGCCGCCGCCATGAGCCAGCTGGATGAGTGTGGCTTGAAGCTGACAGCTTTACAGTTTACCTTAGGAGTTCTTAGTTCTTCTCAGATTATTTAATGTAGTGCTTCACCACTCTGTAATATTCACAGGACATTTGACACTAGAAGGAGCTTTTTAAATCCTACAGAATAGGGATTTTTAAAATTCAACAACATGTTGGAGTGTATAAGTAGTTTATTAACTTTCTTGCATGTGATAAAAGGAGACGTCTTCAGGGAACTCGATGATTGTACCTCTCGGGGTGGCATTTCTCGGGGTGCTCTGCCACCTGGTCCCCATACCCCTCCTTCGGCAAACGCTAGAGTTGTCACTGACTTCTCTGGCTTCTCCTTCAGCTTCTTCTGCCCAAGCTGGATTTGATATAGATTTACTTTTCCCCATTCCTTTGTCCTTGCTTATCAGTCATCCAAGATCTATCTGTCTGTGATTTTCTTTTTTTAAGGTTTGATTGCAAATCATCTAGAAAGTGAGTCAGCTGGCAAAGATAAGCATGAGAAGTTCCCAGGATTCCAAAACTGTCTGATTTTGCCAGATTTGTGCCTGGCCGGTCCTGTCCATTCAGTACCCCTTCCTGTGTGGTTCTGAGCTGCTCCCTGATGTGACCCAGAGATGATTCTAGGCTGTGTTTCCCAAGCTTTGTTTCATTAGATTCCAGTTGGGAGCAGTATCTCTGACATAGTGTCGTGTCAAAAGGATTGAGGAATTCCGCTTGCAACCTGTTCCTCTTGGAAACATCCATTGTATGGTTGCACAACAAAACTTTTTCAAAGTCCTGTGATCCTGAGTGTTACATAACTTGGTACAACTTAACACCTGTTTGAGGCCTACGTCCATTTTCTGTTAGAACAAAATAACTTAGGCTGGGTACCTTATAAAGGTTTATTTAGCTCACAATTTTGGATGCTAAAAATCCAAGGTCAGGCAGCCCCATCAGTTGGGCCTCCAGTGAGGGCCCTCCTAGCTACATCACAACAAGACAGATGGCATCATGGTAGGAGTGTATATACAAGGGATAACTCACATGGACATACAGGAAGCCAGAGAGCAGAAAGAGCTAGTATTGCTCTTTTTGTAACAACTCCTTCTGCAAGGACTAATTCATTCCACAAGACCAGCATCAATCTTTCTAGAGTGTAGCTCCTGTGACCTACTTACCTCCTGCTAGGTCTCACCTCTGAAAGATTCCACCATTGAAACACCACTACATTGTGGATGGAAGCTTCCAGCACAGCAACCTTTGGGAAACAAACCATATCCAAACTGTAGCAAACACCAAACTCTTGTATTTTGTAGCCCATTTAAGAGACACTAGTTTGGAGACCACACTGGATGTCTCTGAGTGGGTTCTGGAAGCCCCTGAGCCCTTCATTAGAATCCATGTTGACCCTAGGATGAAGACCATGGCTTCACTTAGGAATCACCAAATTAGGTTGTTTTCCAAGGGCCCTCATGAAGGATTTTTCAACTATACCAGACCATCGTCAGTTGGTTGTGCTTTCTTTTCTTTCTTTGTGTGTGTGTGTGTCGGGGGGGTGCCAGGGATTGAACTTGGATCCTTGCGCTTGCAAGGCAGGCAGCAGAACCACTGAGCTAAAACCCCAGCCCTTGGTTGCGCTTTCTTTGAAAGTAGACGGAAGTGAATCAAGGTGGGGAGAGGAGCATTTATGGTCTGAACATTGCATTCTGGGGGTCTAGTCAAAGGAAGACATCAGACCGAGCCAAGCAATTCTTAGGGAAAAGGACAGTATGGGGGTTTCTGTATTTGAGAAGCGGTTCTCCTTATCAAGCCAGCTGTCGCATACTCAGATTTCTCCTCCAAATGTGCTTCCCCCGCAGACTTACATTAGTAAAATGCACTCTCAGCTTTCTGAAATAGAGACTTTTCTCTTAGTTTAATGAAATTTGGTTTTAATTTATTTTGGATTACTTTAATTGTTTCTAGCAAATTAAAGGCTTTAGAATGTTTGGTTGGCTGTCTTTTCTTGGTTTTCATTTTTCTTTACTATGAAACATTCCATTAATCATTTCAAAGACGAGCCATGGGGGTTATTTGTTTGTTTGCACACAGGTCTTAAAAAACTGAAGATGAAGAAGATGACACTGATAATATAAAAATGCTAGGCTGGCTGTAACAATGTACCACAACTAAGTACTTCAAACAAAAATTGGCCTCACAGTTCTGGAAAGTAGAAGTTCAAGATCAAGGTGTTAGCAGAATTAATTCCTTCTAAAGACCACAAGGAAGAATGATTTCATATCTTCTTTTCTAGATTCTGGTGGGTTGCTGGCTGGCTTTGGCATTCTTTGGCTTGTAGAAACATCATCCTAACCTCTGCCTGCATCATCACATGGAGTTCTTCTTGTGTGGGTGCTTGTATCAAAATTTCCCCTTTCTCTGAGGACACCAGTTATGTTGGATTAGGGGCCCATCCTACTCCAGGATGACCTCATCTAAACTTAATTACATCTGCAATGACCCTGTAGGATTTTATTTCCAATTAAGGTTACATTCTTACTTGCAATGTGGTACTGGGTTACTGGAGCGCTGGGAGTTAGAACTACTTCAACATAGGAAGGAGACATAATTCAACCCACTGATTCTATACGCAGGGTTACAGTCCATCCTGCAGTATTTAGCGAAAGGCTGGTGGCCCGGGTCAGGTAGAAGGAAGGACAGGTAGGGACAGACTCACATACAGAGCTCATGGAGACTGTAGTTTTTCAAGAGGAGAAGAGCCTAAATCTCCTCAGGACTGGTGCTAAGACAGCAAAGGAATTAGGTCCATGATAATGAAAAACTTCCTACTGTATGCTGTGCCGGGTCCTGGAGACAGGGAGACCATACAAACTAGAACCTTACCCATGGGAAGTCAGGTGGGAGAAGGATGCATGGGATGCATAGAAAGGTGTGAACCTCACCCATTTACTCATAATTCATAGTCATGCCCATTATAGCCAGCTACAATTCATCATATGCCCTAAGGACATGGGTTTTTATATAGTTAGTCTAACTTGATGTACAATTCCACTATATTAATTATGATTCTGATAATTTGTAAGACATACCCAGGTCACCATGTGAATAAGAAGCATCCTTTTGCTTGAGAGCAAATCTGAGGAGGGTCTTTCTAAGATTATTCTCTTCTTTGTAGGTCATAGATCAGCACAGAACTCTGAAGACAAAGATAAGTCCTTCCACAATGTCGTACAGACGAGAGCTAGAGAAATACCGTGAGCTGGATGAAGATGAAATCCTGGGAGCCCTCACAGAAGAAGAGCTCAGGACTCTGGAAAATGAGCTGGATGAGTTGGACCCTGATGTGAGTGGATGCTAAAGGGGAACCTGTGGTCACAGGTGCAGGGAGGGCAGCACCATTATCACCCAGGCCGGGGGCAGGGCATACATCTCGAGGCTGCCATGGCCTTCTTCCTTGTATGGCAATGACACTGAATGACATTGTCTTTGTAGGGTTTTTTTAAGTGTTGTACTAGAGTTTTCCAGAAAAACAGAACCAATAGCATGGCAGGGGGGGGTGTGTGTGTGTGTGTGTGTGTGTGTGTGTGTGTGTGTGCATGTGTGTGTGTGCAGAGCTATTATAAGCAGTTAGCTCACAGGGTTACGGAGGCTGACAAGACCAGAGATGTGTGGTTGGCAAGCTGGAGGCCAGGAGAGCTGGTGGTGTAGCTCTCATCTTAATGCTGGTAGGCTGAAGACATAGGAAAAACCTAGTTAGAGCCCAAAAAATGGGGGGAAAAAATCAGTGTCTCAACTGAAGGCAGCCAGGCAGTAGGAAATCCCCCCCACCCATGGACAGGTCGGGTTTTTTGTCCTATTACAGCCTTAAATAGACCGGATGGGGCCCACCCTCATTAGGGAGGCCATCTGCTTTACTCAGTCTACAAGTTCACGTACTAATCTCATCCAGACAAACCCTCACAGATACAACCAGAATAATGTTCGACAAAATGTCTGTGAACCTGTGACCCAGTCAAGTCATAAAATTAACCATCACAAGTCTACTTCTTGCCAGCACATTACCCATATCTTTCTCTGCAATCCATAGTTAATATCCAAATAAAGGCAGTAGCAAGATAATTATTCTGCCAACATCATATGACATCCCATGTATGACAGAAAACACACCAACCCCTTCCCAAGAAGGGGAGTGAGATCCTTGAATGGTGTTTATTCTTCTCAGTATGCTGTTACTTAAACACTATGATGGAAAGTTAACAATACTTAAGTACTATGATAAAGTCAGTGCAGCTTATGTTACTTGATGAGGTAATAAGAAAAGAAAACCAAAGCCAGGGATTTAGCTCAGTGGTTTTGCCACTTGCCTTGCAACTGCAAGGTCCCAAGTTTGATCCTGGATACCAAAACACACACACATAGACACACACACACACACACACACACACACACACACACACACACAATCTAAAGAAAACCAAAAGATATGTCACATACACATACATACACACACATGTTTATAAAACAAGGAGGAAATTTTCATGACAACTATAGCATTTATTTCTTGTACCAAAACACACACACATACACACACACACACACACACACACACACACACACACACACACAATCTAAAGAAAACCAAAAGATATGTCACATACACATACATACACACACATGTTTATAAAACAAGGAGGAAATTTTCATGACAACTATAGCATTTATTTCTATAACTGGTCAGGTGGAGTTAGCTGGTATTTATAATGTTCTTCATCCACTATTAATTCTGTATTTTCTTCCTTTATCTTCAACTAGTTATCTCAGCTAGTTGTGTCTCTGTACCTGGCAGGGTAACCTAAACCTTCATTCCTGAAGGTTTAATAGCCTTGCCTAGGTTGAGTTGTTGTTTTCTGTTGGCCTTAATCACAGGGCCTAGGGATACAAGTAACACCCAACAGGATCTTCTAAATTCCAGACACAGTCTTCCTTACTTCTATTGCTCAGTAAAAGTCCACATCGCCCTGGGTAGTCAGGATCAGTCACCCCATGCAGGCTGTGACTCCCTCTCTGCCTGTTGATTCTGAGGCACGGGATATCCAAGTGGCCAGGTGCGGTCTTAACTTCCTGTTCGGGGGAATCATTGGGCCCCCTGGGAAAGAAAGCATTTCTTCTTTGGAACTAAGACTTCTAGACAAACACAAAAGGGAACAGGAAGCAGTAATTTTGCTAATGGTCATTAAGGGTTACGGTGTGTGCTGCCACTACCATTTCCAGCCCAGGTTTCTGGACCTGTGGGTTCTGGCTACAGGAAAAACACCACCACACATTGGCCCCTGATTCAGAGCACATACAGCCTGCTGGAGAACCTTGCCATAGCTCTGCAAGGTACTGCTACCTAGCTGGTGCTGTGACTGAGTGCTCAGGCAGCCATTCCACTCTTCTATCAAGCACATTGTTTCTGGATAATGGGGGACCTGTATCACAGAATTAATCAGTTGAAAAATAAAGGACTAGTTTTGTTTGATGTTTTTATCATTGCATTTCATAGTTGGCACATTTATAAAGTTTAATGCTCAGAGTTTGCCTCTGCAGTCAGAACACCCAGCATTAAGAGGCAGAGAACTCCTTGGTTGTGTGATATTTGATCAGCTGTGCCAGAGCCCTGAGCAGCACCAAGGAAGAGGTTCCTAGGGGCCTATTAAGTGAGGTCTTCATCCCACGTTCGCAGGTTCATACCTGGCACAGAGAAGTAGATAATAAATGCTACTGAATATTTACATTTGATATTTTTAAATTAAAAATGGGATCTTTCATGCTTTTAAAAACTGTTGCTCTACTCTCACCTGAAGTGATCCACAAGAACAACAGTACTTCAGTGCCATTTTACCAGCCCACAAATAATACTGCTAGGGCACAGGAAGCATAAGTCAGCAGGAAAGATACAAGATTAGAAGCTAAGTGTTGTGCTTCCAGCCCTGGTCCTGACTCTGAGACTGTGTGACCTTGGCTTATTTGCTGTCCTTCTTTAGGCTTTGGTGTCCCACCCAAGAAATGATGGAGTTGTCCCTTTCAGAACTAAGCTTCCATTAGTTTCTAACCCGGTCTCATTTCCAGACTTGATGAAGTGGCTTCTTTCCAGATAACTCCAAATCCTTATTTAGGATTCTGAGGACCCATGGAGTGACAAATTCTTCTAACAGTGTGGCCTTATCTTGCTCTTCACAACTTTCTCCTGCTTAGGCAGGAAGGGGTGGTTTCCTGGTAAAGCTGTGGAAGTTACTGGAAGGTGGCATTGGCAGAGAGAGAGCTGTGGATCCCTCCTCCTTCGCCTGCCTCATCACTTCCCATTGGCCTATATTTCAGGGAAAACAAGAAGTGGAGACAAAAAACAATCAAGCTTTTGCTTTTTTTGCTACAAAACTGATCTGCTCCAATTCTTCCTTCTATCACTGTTGCATAGAATTACAAGAACAAATAACTTTCTAAAGTGAGAACAAAAGGGGTGTGACTCCTTCTAATGAGCTCTCTAAGCGTGGCTCAGGTACCTGCCCAGCCCCAGGTCCTGTGCTGGGTACAGCAAGGAAGCTGGGCAGGGATACTGCCCTGTGGGAGCTCAGGGTGTGGGGAAGCTTGTCCTGAGTGCAGCAGACAGGATGCTCACTGAGAGGACAGCTTCTTACAGTGGGAGGCTGCATGGAGCAGGTGATGTTGGAAGCAGGCCCTGGAGTTGCCTAAGTCGAGGAAAAAAACAAAGAACTCTTGGTCCAGTGATGGTGTCCTGCAGAGCAGGCCATGAGTGCAGGCCCTGTCGGGGAGGTACCTGGGATGGAGGAATCTCTGTGGGATTTCTCAGCAAGGTTAAAGACAACTGGAAAGGGGTTTGGAGCTCAACAATGGGAGGAGGTGGCACAGCAGACACTTCTCAGTGGTTGAGGAGCTCTTGAGGGGCAGGAGCTGCCCCTGGGTACAAACGGGAGGAGCTGGACAGGTGCCAGGGATTAGGGGGAGAAATAGAAGGAGTTCACATGGGAGCCCATGTGCTTCTCAGCTGGCAATGGGCACCACTTTCGAGAAGATGAGTAAGGGCCCTGTCCCTCTGCACATTCCTTCCTGCCATGCTGTGGGGGGGAGAGGGAAGAGTGTGGGCCCCACGCCCTGTAGGCTGGCCTGGTCTTCCCTTTTGCCCTACTGGAGTTGCCCTGAGCTGCTGGAGGGGACCCAGGTTAGATGAGGCTATGGCTGTAAATGGGGCAGGTGGTGACAGGGATCAGAGCCCACATTCTGAGGGAGGAGGGAGCCTTCTCCACAGTGAGAGTCTGGCCTTTCAGGACTATGCTGAAGTTTTAGTTGGGAGCTGTGTTTTATCCCTAAACTCTTACAGGGCTGCTACACCAAACACGCGTATATGGCCTTAGGAGCAGATTCCCAGGCCGCTGCACCTCACACAGCCCCCTCTGCTGCCCAGGTGAGCAGCAGGAAAAGTCTCCTCTAGTGATGTCAGAGGCTCCAGTCGCTGACCAGCTGGCCTAGAGTCACACAGCAGTGTGCAAGAGTCAGATTGTACCCAGGACCCAAAAAACATGTGCAAGCCCTCTCTGGCAGGGGAGGAGCTACTGAGTGGATGGGTCTAGGGGCAGGTGGGGGCCACCTGAGAACTGGGATTCTTGACTCCTGGAGTTTCCAAAGTGATGTTTTCAAAGACCTCTTTCTCTCCCAGTTCAAGGAAAAGAAAAGAGAAACCAAGGAGATAACAAGCCTGGTAGATTTTCTGTCTCAGCCACACAATTGGTCCCTTCACTGAGATCAGCTTTTTAAAGGGCCTGTGGGGCTCCCTTCTTCCTGGGAACACACAACATTCCAGCTCCAGTTTCACCAGCAGGCCCATGTGGGTCCAGCTCTGAAACTGTAGCTCTGGGAGAGGCCGAAGGTATGCAGACCATGCAGGGAAAACAGCCAGTAGGTGTCCTGCCCCCACCTGACTGATCAGGAACCCAGCCAGACAGGGACAAGGACTTGCTGTAAATAATCCAGCAGAACCGAGCAGAGCTCAGGACCCCTGATGCCCAGGCCACTGCCCTCGGTTCATTCCACACTCCTGTGTCTATTTTTGTGTCCCATTTGCTGACATGGCACTTACAACATGCAGGGACTGTGCTAAGTGCTTTGAAGATATAATTCACATAACCATCATCATGATCCTGTGAGGCAGGCACTCTTGTCACCCCTGCTGTACAGGTGAGGACACTGAGGCTGAGTGACTCGTCAAGGACAAACAGCTAGGCAGTGGTAAAGCCACAGCATGGTTCTGAAGTTCATGTCTTAGTGACTCTGTTCAAAGGCTCGATG